CGGGATACCAGCTTCCGCGGCTGGACAGGTTGCGCACTTCGAGTGCGATTGAACCACTGGCAGAGGCACGGTGTGTGGTCGTGCTGCAGGCCGCTGGGGACGCCACGCTCTGTGAGGTGAGCGGCTTCCCACTTGCGTCGCTGCTCGCTCTCACACTATCTCCGCACGCCCCTCCGCAACCTCCGCGCCGTGGCACGTACGCCAAATACTAGCTTCGCACCCCCACAGTCTTGCAGCCGCTACCGTGCGCCCTCTGTGCACCACGCCTCGCCCGTAATCGCATATCAGCACCACTTCGGGCTCTGCAGGGAGGCCGTTGTTGGTAGCTGTACTACGCACCGTATGCCGCCGCCGCGCCAGATTGATCAATCCACACACATTCCAGAGAAACGTTGGCCGCGGTGGCGCGCTGCGTTGCTGACTTAGCTAGCCCGCCGGCCACCTCGACGGCAGCAATTTTTTACCGCCTGATAAACGTCCTGCAACCGCCCGCCGCGCTCCGAGAGGTGCGGTATGATATCAATGCAGACCTCGTTCGCCAAACCGGTCGCTCGCGCGCCGGGATGGATCATAGTACCCCTGGGCGCACTCGACGCCACGCTCTATGGTGTTTTGTTCTGCCGCGCCTCGTCCTTTTGGGCTTTCCTATTACATTCAGTTTCATGGCAGCGCGCGCAAGACGCGTGTTGGTCGCGGTGGGCCGCTGTCCCCGCGTTCCTGTGGGAGCGCGGGAGATGTTCATCGCCAATGTGCGTTGCTGAGTGTGGCCGAGTCCCCATTATCCCACTTGGTTGTGGTGCGTCCACACTTAAACAATAGGTGCCCGATTCGTGCTGAATCTCCCAGGCTGCTAATAGGGCGCCACTCTTGTTGTGATGCGACAGCAGGCTGGCGTGTCCGGACCACCACTTCCGCCACACCAACATTTCTCCCATAGATGGATACGCGCGACCATCATCGACGCATCTCCCCTGCACCCTTCGTCTGGGGTTGCCTGGTCTTTGAGGCATTGGAGCAACCCGCTACGTACGAGGGCCACGATCAAGAACTAGCGAACGTCCATCGAGAAGGGGTCCTTCAGTACATCTCGTACGTACAATCCTTGCACCCGTGCGTGGCTTCTAGTAATCGTTACTACTTTACCACTAACGGGTGTACTTGGACGTAGTAGCCTCGCAGGAACAGCAGCACCGCAACCCAATACGGAGGATGGACGACACAGGCGCCCGGGGTAGATCCCGTCTCCCGCGGGACCCCGGGAGGCGCCGCTCAGAATCCACCTCCCCGGACATGGTCGATATCCGTCCTGTCACGCCCTCCTTATCCGTGAATACATGCACATTCGCACCGTCGCGGAGAGCGATCAGGGCCCGGAGATGTCCACCGCGGCCTTCGAGGAGAATCGGGTCCGCAACCGACGAGAGCTCGGAGGTGCGCCTCCGCGCTCCGGGACGCGCTCCCGCGTTGCTGATCTCCGCGTTGAGATATAAGGGACGTGTCCCCCGGGCGCATTCGACGACATACGGACGTCCCCTGCGGGTCGCCCAGGCCACGCCCGGTGCAATGTCATGTTTTACGTCTGGCATTTCGCCTGCGTGCACAGACGCGACCGGCGTTTAAGTGGCATTGCCGTTCAAACACCTTTGTAAATTACCTCGGACCTCTCTGCCTGCAGCACGGTGTGTCCCAACGTTCCGTCGTTGTAGATCTTTCCTTTCGAGCCCGCCTCTGATCTGCCATTTGCAGAAGCGTGCTCTGAGTGGTTCGGTCGCTACGCGAACGCGTACCGCCGTTGTCCCTATCCGCGCCCGGGCGTTGGGACGGACTCCGCACTACGACACATGCGTACCGTTGCCACGACACAATACCACACGCACCATTTTCGACGCATCGAGGTCGTCAGGCCCTGGCGCTCGTCTCCCCGACAATCTTGCGCCGCTGACCCCGCCATCGGCGGTGACCGAACAACGCCAGGCGATCCCGGGAGACGATCCCGGAGAGGGGCATGCGGGGTAAACACCAAGTGCCCCACATCTGTTATACGATCTGTAGAATGTGCCAGCGTCGCGATAACGCTGGGGCATCCACGAAAGCTGCGCTGTGTGCGATGGTGTCGCAGGGAAAATCCGAATCGTCGCTTGAAAAGCGAGTATGTGCGTCTTCAGGGCCTTCTCATGCGCTCTCAACACACACAGGTTAACGTAACTTGCTCAAGCAGAAGAGTCTCCCTTAGTTCTGGCCACCGACGTGAACGAGGACGACGCACGTTCCTGTGGTGCATTTTCGGCCTCTTCTCGACGGGGTTCGCACCGGGCACCGATGACCTGCACGGTACGCATTGTTCTTCTCGCCGACTTTACCGAGGCGATATCAGAAGTGCGCGGATCCCCCAGAACGGGTCGGTACGCTAATATGCTATTCGTCTGCGGTCTATTCTGGCGTCACACCTGGGAAGGCGAAAAAGCGTTCATAATGAAATGAAGCTCGCGGCAAGGTTCGTCTATACCCTTGAGCTAGTCTGTGGCGATAACGGCGTGGCGAAGCTTGCACTGTGCGCAGCGGCTCATTATCACCGCGGCTAGCACGTCTTGCGTAACGATGGTGCGCTGCCCCGGCTACGTTACCCGTTCACAAACGCCCCGATAGCGCAATGACGAGCACCGCGCCGTCTGCCAGCAACCCTCGGAGGGGCGGGACGGTCTGCACACACAGCTCTGGACGATGTCGCACGCGCGCAGCGGTCCCCGCCGCTGGATCAACATGGTCCAACTGCACACGTTATCGCGCACCGACGATCGCCCAATATGGTCGCGGACCGACCACCCGCCGGTGCTGAGTGCTCGCCATTCGCGGGCGGTGCAGCGTGCAGGCGTGCCTGGGTGCGGGGGGTGCGCCCCGCCCGATATGGCTGATGGGCTCGAAACCTGGACGCATCGCGGCCGGCACACCCGGGCGAAAGCCCGCGATGGGCCCCGCGCGCGCACATACACACAGAGATAAGCTTGCGCGACCGGTCTGCCGGGGCTCGCACTGGCAGCGTTTCGTGCGGTGGGGTCTTCGCGATGGTCGAGCCTTCGGTGCGTCCCTCCCGCGGGCTTCCATCTCCAATCTATCATCGACATCCCTAGGCTCCTTTGCCCCGGGTCGTGTTTGCTCCTGCTGGCCACCGCCGGGCGGCGATAGACGCCCCCTTGTCGCTTTTGATAGGGAGAACTCGTCGCGAGCAATGGCGGAGCGTCTTCATCTGGTCCCAGACGACGCTTCCTCGCCCTGGTCGGTGGTAGCTATACCCCACTTTGTCTGCGTTTGGGCACCGTCGTGCCATACCGTGGCCAACTCGACCACACGGGAGCCGTGTGGCCTGAGCAGGCTATCACCTCCTCATGGATAGAGAAATTCTATAACGTCCTGACGACATGTCTCGGCAGCTCTGGTTCGAAGGGGTCAAATTCCTTCACGATGCGGCACGAAGGTGAACGACGCGATTGCTTGAGACGCGGACATTTGCCTGAATTTCGATCAGACTGCCGTGAAACAAGCCCGTGGCGTGGCAAGCGCGCCTCGTAATACTTGAACAAGGCGCGGGCGTGTGGGGGATCAACGCTGTGGCGAAAACGGACAGACTGGACGTGTCCATATTATTGTCACACAGATGGCGCGAATATGCCTGCGAAGCCGAGCCCTCGCATGGTGCGCAGCAGCGATAGCAAGTTGCGTCGTCAGTGAATACGCAAGCCTGACAGGCGGGCGTCCACACCAGTGGGGTCCAGCCCAACATCGATAATATCGATGGAGGAACACACGGCCGGATCCCGACCGTTTGTGACAAAGGTTTGACAGAAGAGCACCACCTACCGTTACTGATTGGCGCTGTCTCCACACCGAGTATCACAGCCTCACACACGGCTACTGAGTACTGAACGTCTAAAGTCGTTGATGCTGTTCGCAAGCGTCTTCTGCACAAGGTAGCGACAGTGGACTACTTGGTAGTAGGCACTTGACCCACTTCAGGGCTACCATCTCCAACGCGGAACTTCACGCCGGGGCTTTACTCAACCGCCAGAGCGCCGCGTCGCCCCGCGCCTCGTTTTGGCCGTCCTTGTAACTCGGACGCGCCCCGTCGCGCTCGACGTACCCGTTCAGATGCGTCAAGCGGGGGCGTTCAGCGCATCGTGCACCACGTTCTCCCCCCCTGGCATCGCGAAATCCTACTCCCGCCTAACCGCCGCAGCCGCGAGGATCATTGGCGCGAACGCCGCGTCCGCGACCGACCAGACTGTCCCGAGCACATACATACCTGGCCTACAGGAGGAGCGTCTGGCGCTCGGCGAGCAGCACGAGTACCGCCTCGCTCGCAGCCCGAGGCAGAGGTCCGTGACGAACTCGAGGCGCACGCTGGACTCTTCGATCGCCGTAGGCCAGCAGCAGAACGACTCATGGGCCGTTGTAGACGAGCGCGGGTACATATCGTGAACGGGGATACATGGTCCATCGGATCGAGCGGGAGGGGGGGCGACTGCCAGGGGGAGTCCTGTGTGCATGCTTACCTTGCCTATAGGTTTGGCGATGTACCACTGCGGCCTCCGAGCGTCAAGATTGAAGAAGTGTTGATAGTCTGGACTCTGCCTTGGCGTCCTGTACCAGAACAAGCGCAACAAACTCGTGCGATGTAAAGCGAGTGCTGCAACGATAAACCCCTCCAAGTTCTCGCATCGAGACCATCCATACCAGGTGATATTCCAGAGCTTGCGAGCGGACATAGCGATCGCCGTAGTCCTCGAAGATTCGAGAGAAAGGTGTGTGTCGAGTTTTTGCATCGAGCTTACAGCACCACCTTGGTCACGTCACAGTCGTGCAGGTGACCCATGTCATATGTGGCGATCGACTACGCCCACGGTGGAGAGTCTGTGTGTCAGATGCACCTTCGTCAGTAAGAACAATATTAATGAAAAAATCGTTGCAGGGATTATCGACATTCGCTCCGTTCCAGAAGAAAAGAATGGACGATCAGGGGCTTGAACCCTGGACCTCACGCAAGCTCAGATGCAAAGCGTGCGCGCTACCACTGTGCCAAACGCCCGTTGGCAGTTCGCCGTTCATGACCATTCCCCCTCGCGCCGCCCTCCCAAACGTCCCCCGAGCCATCTCAACGCTCGGTAGGACTCGACTGGTTTGTATACACGTCGGCTGACGAGGTTCACGTAGGGTCTAGTGTCGTGTTCGAGATAGTAGGTACGTAAGGTATCGCTTCAAAGTTCGTACTTTTAGCATGCGCTCGGTCGCCCGAGTCGTCCGTTCGTCATGTCCCGCCTCCCGCCTCCCGCCTCCCGCCACCACGTCATGTCATGTCATGTCATTTCCCTCTCCACCCGCGTCACGACCAACGCACAGACTCATCTCCGAAACCCTTCCAGCCCCTGCCTTTGTCCTCGCCGACCATCCTACCCACCTCACAGCTCACTGCCTTTTGCCCACCTCCCCAGCGCCGACCCACTCGCCCGCGCTGTCCTTCTTGCGCACGGTGAAGCACGCGATTCCCAGGAACTCGGTGATGTCGTTGATGACGAGGTAGCAGAAGCGCGCGTACGAGAGGAAGGTCACCGCAAGCGTGATGTACACGAAGAGCGCCGTGCGCGGGACCGTCGTCTGGATGATCGGCGGGCTGTCGAACGAATCCAGCGTCAGCCACGAAGTAGTCTCGTCGGCGCGAGACGGGGTGCATGAGAGGGCGGGGGAAGGGAGGGGGAGGGGGAGCGTACGCACCGGTTGATGAGCCGGGGGAGGTTCGCGTCCACCGCGCCCACGATGCTCCAGACCCACATCGCGTCCCACCACGGGAACGGCTGGCGGGTGACGTGCGCGAGGATGATGCGCGAGACCTGATGCGCGAACTGGAGGCCCCACACGCACAGGAAGGGCAGGAACAGCGCGGAGTGCAGGATCTGCGAGTGTTTCAACGACGGCGAGCTCAGCCACGCGACCTCGAGCGCGACGGAGATCGGGAACGGCAGCAGGAAGAGCAAGGGGGTGAAGGGCCCCTTCCCCGACGATCTACGGGCTTTGTATACGTTGTGGCAGCTAACAGAGGTGGCAAACCGATAAGAGAGAGAGGTGAGGCGGTAATCGGTCGCATGCCTACCTGGTGATGATATTGAAAGCCAGCGCGACACCGCCAAGGAACATGAATGCATCGTTGAGGCCAATTCTAGGAATGTACTGCAGTGCAATGGGGTATTTTTCTAGTCTAGTGAATGCGAGAAAGTCTTGGTCCCAAAATTCAGGGCCTGTATCGTGCGTCAGCTGGCGTGCAATGCGAGATGTAACATATTATTCTTACCGGTAAATCCAGTGACGGTATAGAGGAGAACGATCATCAGGATGCCTTCCACAGGTCCGGAGAAGACGCCCAAAAAAAGTTGACCTAAGGCACGACTCAGAAACCAAGCAGCGTGACGGCTTCGCACAGAGTGGCTCACCGGTGTGATACTCCTCCCAAGTCGTCAGATAAAAGTTCGCGAGGGTGGCGATCTGGGAAGCGACCGTCCACCACGACCTCCCGATGTTGAGCGCGCGGGCGCACAGGATGACCTCAAGCTGGCGTCTAGATGTGAGGCGCGAGTTGTACGAGAGTGGAGCGCGGTCTGCGTACGGTCGTGTTGAGGGCGTCGCATCCGTGATCGAACATCTCGCCCAGGGGCCCTGCCATGCCCGTTCGTCGTGCTTGTTTGCTGCGTCGCGGATAATTGAGATTGCTGCCCTGGACGTATGAAAAACGGGGAGACGTACCCGTCTATGGCATCTAATGTCTGATACAAAAACAGGCCTGCGGCCCACCTGTCTTCCGCGGTCAGCGCACGGCCGTCACCCCTCTCAGATGTCCCGACGTACGTGAAGTATATCCAGTTCGGAGGGCCGTCCGCGCCGTCCTTCTCGGCCAGGAATTTGGGGTCGTAGTATAGGAGGGTGGCAAAGTTTGCGAGGACGAGCGAGAGCCCGGACAGGGTGATCTTCGCGAGGGGTAAATTTCGCGCGTGGGCACGAGAGAAGGATGCGTACGGTGTTTGGCGCTATCCAGGTGGGCCAGAGGGTGACGAACCAGGTCCAGAACGGCTGGAGCAGATAGTGCGACACGAGCGACCTGCGCCGGGGGCGGTGAGCGGTGAGCGGGGGAGAGGGACGAGGGGTGGAGAAGAGAGACTGACTTGTCGACGCCCTTGTAGGAGTAGCGGTTGAGGTTGTCGAGCGCACGCTGCGGCACGTATCCCATCCTCGCCCAATTAGCAAGAATATACAGCAGCACAGCGAGGCGGCAGAAAGCACAGAGAGAGAACGAGACAGCGGCGCTCCCCTTCCATCTCGCCCTACGTCACGCGCACGTGCGTCGACGCGTACACTCGGACCAGAATAACCAATATTAATCTGTACAGTATATTTACAGGTTCCAACTAGTCTAGAGCCTACGCCTCCACTAAAACCCAAGCTGTTCGACAAACGCCTGCCAGGACGCGTCCAGCACTGGCGTCCCCGGCGGAGGGATGAGCGCTGCGTGGATCGGATGCGTCCACGGATTGTATACGATCCCCGTCGTCGGCGCCGTCGTCAGGCCATTCCCCAAGCTCCCTGACCCCGAGCCGCCCGTCCCGCTCGACGGCGTGTTCCCCGCTGCCGCCGCCGCTGCCGCCGTCGGCGACGCAAAGTCAAAGTCGGGGAACAGCGGGAACTCCGCCTGCTGCGGGTTCGGGAACGCCGTCGACGGAAAGTCGAGGTTGAACTCGCCCGCGCCGCCTCTGCCCCCGTCCGCACCCCCGACGCCGCCCATCCCCCCCACGCTGTCCATACCATCCACCATCGCGCTCCCCCAGGGCGTCCCCCCGTCAAAGGAGAGCATGTCCTGCATGATCGTCGGGTGGATCATCTCGGGCTGTATCGGGGGCTCGTTCAGCGCCGGCCCTGCCGCGTCCGCGCCGACGCGCGCGCGCTCGCGCCTCCTCACGCAGTTGTCCCCGACTGGCCGATCGTCCGTTGGGCGGATGAGGTGCGTCTTGCCCCCGAGGCGGTCGAGCTCGCTGTGGATGCGCGCGGACTCTTCCTCGGTCGCATGTGCCTTGTTCATCGCGTCGTGCGCTTGTTTGCGGAGCTTCCGCATCACCTCCTGCAGGACACGGTTCAGGGTTGTCCAAACGACGCATTCAGAGGCGAACACTCACGATGTTGTTGGACGCGATCTGGCACTGGCTCATGGCTTCCTCAAACAGTTCGCACTGCTTGTCCAGCTCTGCGAGCGACGCCTTCGCCAAGTTCGACGACGGCGCGCGGGTCACCATCAAGCACATGACGATCTGTGCGGTTCATCAATATTTTGAACAGATTCTGGGTAAACCAACACATACGCTGCCAGACAGCGCATGCGACCAGATGGTGTTCATCCTGGAAGCGATCCCGGGGATGGCCCGATACGCACATCGCGAGCTGGCGAATATCCGCCATGCAGAGCGGTATATTGCCATGACGGAAGGTCCATACTTGTGTCGCAGCGGGTCCTCGGGCATGTCGTTCAGTGCTTGCGAGAAGTATGGTCGGTGCAGATTCAGCAACGCTGATATGCCCATATTAGCGATATGCGAATGCTGGCTATCGGGTCGAACATACTGGTCTCCTTGAGGATCGTGGCTGCCATGCGTTGAACACACAGCGCTGTTGTCGGCCCAGGTTCCTCTACGGCGCCGCACTGTACGCGGAGTGATGATGGGACGGGGAAGTCGCGTACTTTCCGGTCGAGCTCCATGACCTTTGCATATCCAGGTTGTTTCGCGCCGAACGCCGTCGTCATGATGGAGTATAGCAGCTTAGTGTACTGCCAGGTCCAGATATGGACTGATAGCATTGTAGTGAGCGATATGGTTCGTGGATAGGGAAGGGACGAGGGCGGAAACGTACAGCCGGCTTCACGTCGGTCTATCTCATTGCACATTGGGTCGGGTTCCTTGGGCATCTCACACTCAACAAAGTCGAGGTTGATACTTGGTGGCCGCCCGAAACCGAAGCTCTGGCGAGGCAAAGTCAATCCTTCGCCTTCGACCATAGTGCGAGAGTCTTACCAGCCAGGTATCCTGCACGAATAGCTGCCAGAACACCTGATTCCGCTTAATGGACGTGTCCTCGCCGAGGCGCCACCTTGAGCCGCTGACATCTGTGCCACGGTTCAGCCCACTGACAACGAATGTGCACGTGAGATGATGAACGTACGTAGCCCGATCTGCAGGGTCTCGAGTCAATGTCACTGGCTCACAAACACAACGTGAGCACGCACGCTATGCCCAAGTTTCACCGCTTGCCCAATCTGCATCCAGGCCTTGTGCGAGCCTGTATGGGCGGGTTCGCAGTCGCTCATTTCGAGATACTGCGTCATGTAAATCTATATCATGCTGTGAGCAGAGACGTTCCGTATCGCAGCAAAGAGAGCGGTACCATCGCCTGAATGGCCGTGAGAGTGGTGTCGTGCGCCGGGGGCGCGAAGCGGAGCGCCACGCGCGAAAGAAGATAGTATTCGTGTGCCTGGACTGCGTACGGCGGCGTGCTCTGATCGAAGAGGGTGGCGAGGGCGTAGATGATCCAAAGCAGGGACATCGAGTGCAGTGTGGCGACGTTGCACGTCTCTTCTCTACAAACTGTAAGCACGGATGCGAGACTCAAGGGGAGAGGCCTACTTTGGTGTGTGGTAGATGACAGAAATGATGTCGTCAAAAACGTACTTCCGCGGTAATGGATACCATCTGTTCTTGCCATTGGCTGACCGTGTGATGGAGTAGGGCGGAACGGGCACTCACGCGAACTTTCCGAAGTCAAGAAACGTCTCACATAGCTGGCATGCTTGTGAGAGCGGCGGCAACATCTTCATCATCTCCGTTGCGATGTCACAATTCTCGATGGGAATGTCAAGTTCCTTGTTGGCTTCTTCCACTATTTCTTTGGACAAGTGTGGTAGTTGCAAGTCATTTGCAGATAACCGTTCGGGAGCCTTTAGGACCGTAAGTGTTATTCATTCAGTGACATTGTCAATACGCGACCTACATGGATCAG